ATTATTACTATTATTATTATTACTGTTATTATCACCATTATAACTAATAAATATAAAGAAAATCTACTGAGCTGAAGATAATTAGCAAAATATAATAAACAAAGCCAAATGATTACAATTTAGTATAATCGAATAAACTAACATATTATTAGCTTTAATTTCATCATAATAATTAGCAAAAATTATGAAGCTGCTATTGCAGGAAATGAAATATGATAATGGTATTGCAGAAGTTGTCGAATTATCGTTTAAACCTTCAGGTAAATCTGTTTATTTACTTTTTGCACTACTTTCATATCATTTTATTTGCTCAAATTACTCTTTATCATTCATCCAAAGTTTTCCAAAGAATCGGATTACCTTCCGGAAATTCCGGTTGCTTCTTTTTTTTCTTTCAATCAGCATTGAAGCTGATTTATATTGCAAGTTTGCTTAATAAGCTAAAAGTTGACGACGAATTTTTTAGGATTTTCTTACAATGAGCTAATGTTTGTGTGTGTCTGTTTGTATTTTTACGTGTTAATGGTAATACGCACGTGAGTGTGTACGTGTAGGCGTGTGAATATATGTGTGTACGTTTAGGTGCATGCATGTATGCATTTGTAAGGATTTGGAATGAAAATTGCAAAACTTAAAAAGTAACAAATGATAAATTGAAAATTTTTAATTAAAAATTTTTAATTATCTTTAAAAAAAAAAATTTCAAACAAAGAAATATTTGAAGTAGTATAAGAAATTTAGAATTTTATTTTCCTTGTTATTATTATTCTTCATTGTTTTTCGCTTCTTTCTTTTTTCATGGAAAATTTCAAAACAAAGAATAGTTATTGAGTGAAAAGGGAGAAAGAGAGAGAGAGAGAGAGAGAGTTGAAGAGAAAGGGAGAAAGAGATAGGAAAGGAATAAATAAAAAAGTTTGATGATATATTTTGGATAAATAGAAAGTGATGTGTGTAAACTAAGGATAATCAATGAAATGCACAGATTTTGCTCTTTTTGCTATTTTTAAGTTACATTTATTTCTTTTAGATTTTATTTATTTATCTGATTTTATTCATTATTTTATAATTTAAAAATTAATAACTTTATTTAAAATTTATTTCATCCGAATAATTCAAATATAAGTACTATTATAAATTTATTAAATAAAAGTAAAAATGACGGAAAAAAATTCGTTTTTTTTGCAAAAATTCATTTTTTTTGTTTTGTTTTTGAAATTGAAATGAAAAAAAAAAAAGTGATAAAACTTTTTTTTTTCACTCACTCTTCCTGTGTCTTTTTTTCTTTTCATCGTTTTAAAATTTAAATTTTTCCATTGAAATGCATTTTCAGAGAAAAATGATCGATGAAATCGTCGTTGTTTTTCCATTTAAATTAGCTACCAAATAGAATAGTTTGTTGGGAATTGATTAACAAGAAATATAATTAAAATTTATTGCGTGGGATGAAATTTGCATAAAGCACAGGAAATAAGAAGCGTTATTTTAATTATCAATTTTAATTATGGTTGATATGATATTAAAAAAATAGTGTTTAGTTAAGATTTCTCCTTATTTACTAGTAATTTATCGCATTAGGCATCCTAATTTTATAAGCTTTGTAATTAGTAAAATAAATTCAAAATATTGAGAATTTCAATTTAGCATTAGCAAATTATTTGGCATTAAAACTTAATTTATTAATATGCAAATTTTATATTGTCACTTAATTGCTATGATTTTTTTGTCATTCGATAAAATATTTTGAAATTAAACATTCGATTCAATTAAATATTTCAAAATTTCATTTTCAATTCTTGTAATTTAACATTTAATATGGTTTTATTCGTTGATAAGAGAAATCGATAAATTTCATTTATCAATGATAACAGTCTGCAAAAAAAAATCCAGACCATATCAGCTAATAATATCAAAAACTACTATCTATTAATAATTGTTAAATGCAATTTTTATTTTATAAAAATAAAAGATAAATAAATATCACGAAAAAGAAGCTACTAACTTTTGTTATATGAAATGATAATATTTACGTATTTGAGTTATATTACAACTATCATAATAGAATAATGGAATTTGATTTTAATTTTTTCATTCCTTTTCAATTTCTCTTATCAAATTATATTTAAACCAACAATTTTAGCTTAAATTTGCAAATTTTTTCTCTTGTCTGATTTACATTTTCATTCAAATATTTGTTTTAAATTTTAAAAGTTTAATTCTTAAATTTTACTTTTTTCACTTATCACTCATAAAATGTCAATTCTATCTTCGTCATTTTTTCCTCTTCATTCATTTCATTTTTCTTTTTCAACTTTTTTTTTCTCTCACTTTTTTGCATTTGCTATTTTTTCTTACTATAAGTTTAAAAACTTTTATTTTTTCAAAAAAGGAGATATTTACTTTTTAGAAATTATTGAATAAATATGTGTTATATATGTCTTGTTGTAGGCGATCAAAGATTAGAATCCATTAATAATCAACAATATATGGCTGCTAATTTGGATGCTGAAATGACATCATTTTTTAAGGTGACACTTTTTTTTAAATTTTATCCATTACTTGAATTTTATTTGACTAGTTTGATAGCAAGACGATAATATCCGGATCGATTCTGTATCGATTTGCAGATGTAATATTTCCAGGGCGGATACGTTGACGTGCGCTAGTTTGTCTCATATGTATGAAGATTGTTGACAATCATTAATTACTTTAATGTATTTGTACTGAAGTATCCAATTGTGATACAATGTTAATTTAGATTTAAATACGGTAATTTTAAAATGAAATTTCACTAATATATTAAGTATATTTTTTATAGATTTGTAATACAAGAAAAACCGGAACAACTACTGAAATGGATAAAATGCTCATTAAAAATGAAGTAAATGATGAACAGTTAGAAGATGAACAGGAAGAGGAGGAAGAAGAGAAGGAAGATGAGGAAGACGATGAAGAAAAGGAAGAAGAAAAAGAAGAAGAAGAAGAAGAGGAAGAGGAGGAAGAAGAAGAGGAAGAGGAGGAAGAAGAGGAAGAAGAGGAGGAAGTAGATGAAGAAGAAGCCGAAGAAAAGAAAAAGGTAGAAAAAAAAAGAAATGGAGAACAAATTAATGATTTATCAGTAAATTAAAAAGAGACGAAAAAGAAAATTATCAAATTTAAAAAATACATAACATGGAAATATAAATTACCAATGATGAATAATTTCTATTTTTCGACCTCATTTTCAATTCTCATTCATAATTTCAATTAATTAAAAATGTTAAAAAGTTTGTCAATTATTATACTAAATGATCATTTGGATGAGATTGTATATTCTTAATATCTTTTTTAAAATAAATTTAGCAATACCAAACTGATTAAATTATTCCATTTAATTCGTTACTGTAATTATCAGCTATCAGTTTAGTTAATGTATTCATTAATTAATTAATTTCTTTTCTAGATTTGTTGTTTAATTCCAATTCTGATTCTAATTTTTCCCTAATTATTACTATCCTTTTTTTTCCTTTTAGCAAAATGCAATTAATCGAAAACCGCCATTATTACTTGTTACACAATCATCGACACAAAATTCACCCAATCATCTTACCACCGAATTTACATTTGTTGATAATATTAATTTTAATATGATGCAAACTAATGATGGAGATAATGATGAAGAAGGTTTGATAAAATTTTTAAATTTTCAATTTGCTAAATTTTTCATAATTATTATTTTATATTAATTATTGAAAATAATTAGTAATTAAAAATGTACGCTAATTGCTACAATAATAACATCAAAAATATTTATAATATTTTCTATAAATAATAAAAAAATTTGATAAAAATGATGAAAAAAATCAGGAAAAATTTTTGCAGGAAATGATGCAATATTAAATATGCAAAATGATAATTTCGAAACTGATATGACTGTTACGGAAACAATCGAATTACAAACGGAAAATGATAAAACGGAAAGGAAGCCAAGAGGTTGCTTTCTAATGCCCTAAATGAATTCAACCAGCATTCATCGTTTTTTTTCTTAATTAATGGTGAGTAGTAGCAAAGAGGGTCCTAAAAAATGTCACCCTTTTCTTTTTTTAATTCAATTAAAATAAAAAATTAGTTCAAACAAATAAACTTTTTATTGCTAATCAAATTTAAATATTTGTTAAAAATATTCCATTTTAAGCAAATCTAAATATTGAATTTAAAAAAAAAAAAAATCACACCTTGTTAGAGTATTGAGAATATTATAAAATTAATAAAATAATTTTCTCGACTTAATACATATTTTACGGCAAAATAAAAATTTAGAATTTAATTTCTACAAGAAGAAAAAAAAATGAAAAAAAGAAATTTCCTGCAGATTGATTACTTTACAAAAATATCAACGGTAAAAATTTCATTTTCAAGATTATAATTCAAAAACAAAATTAAACTATAATCTTAGAAATGAAATTTCTTAAATAATCTGATAATTAAATAAATTTTTTTTTGAAATTTAAAAAAAAAGACGAAAAACTGAAAAATTAAAAATTACTAAATAATTCGTACAAATATAAAAAATGAGGAACTAAAAGTAATTTAATTTTGTTATAAACTATTGCTATGAGCAAAAAAAAAAAAAAAAAAGATATTGAAATGATTAAAAATTTTAGCAAATATTTTTTATATTTCTTTTTTTTAAATATGAAAATTTTAAAACAGCCAAAAATAAATTATTCAGTAATAAAATTAAAAAATTGAAAAATTATTACTAAAATTTGGTTTTATTTTCGATTTTTTGTTTCTTTTTTTTTTTAAAGATAATCATTATCCAATTGTATTATCGGAAAGCCGGAAACATTCTTTATCACCAATTCCTGATTATGAAAATGATTTTAATGAAGAATTTATTGTTGAAGCACCAACAAGGTTATCATTTTTATCTTTTCTTTTTTT